TCCGGTAAAAATTTTTAATTTGAAGGTTTCGAGTTATAGAGGGTTAATATGTATACGTTGCCATCTCCGTACAGCTCACTTCACCACGCCTAGCACACTTGCGTGCTCGCAGTTTGCCCGCGACGTCGACTGGGTGCACCTCTGCTGTGTATACCTAGTGTAGTGCTTACTTCAGTTGAAGAGATGATTACTACATGTTTTTACCCAAATTCACACACATAAGGACAAAGTGACTAATTAAGACGACAAAAATAGAAAGACAAAAGTCTTTAAATCTTATCACACGTACCTTTCTAATCCTCCTTATAAACCAGTCCACAATGTAACACACAAATTTTGACTTTTAACGCAACGCAGCAGCTTTTGCAAAAGCGCAAAGTAGGGTTTTCTATCGTGCGTGGAATTAAATAATTTTTTGTTTGAAGCGATGATAAAATAGTTTTGCTTGCCATTTTATTCTTATTAACAACTAATATATATTCAACAATTTTTATTGAGCTTGAGGCCGTTTTTAATCAAAAGGTTATTGTGGAAAAGCAACAATAATTGAAAAAATGGTAGAAGTGATAGCTATTTCGGAAATCACCACATTTCCTCATCAGACTTCTTTCAGTAGGATTCGAACCGACGATCCCACTGACTCAACCAGTTGCCTACGCACTGTGATAAGGGCGCCTTGTGAATTCTTGTTGTTTTTTCCATTATTTCATTTCGTTAAGCCAACTAAGAACAAAAGCAAAAGCAATAAGAATTCACAAGGCGAACTTAGCGTTTAAACTGCGAGTCTTTTTCTCTAATCAATCCCCAAATGTAATCTCCCATCATGTTCTCATTGTATTGTCCTTGGTATCGCCGCTCAAATTCCATTATATCCTGATGGAAGCGCTCGCCTTGCTCCTCTGAATATGCTCCCATGTTCTCCTTGAATTTGTCAAGATGTGCATCCAGAATATGGAGTTTGAGAGACATCCTGCAGCCCATTTTGCCGTAGTTCTCCACCAGACTTTCGACCAGCTCCACGTAGTTTGCGGCTTTGTGATTGCCTAGGAATCCCTGTACCACTGACATAAAACTCATCCAAGCAGCTTTCTCAACACGAGTGAGCTTCTTGGGGAATTCCTCAGACTCGAAGATTTTCTTTATTTGTGGTCCAACGAAGATACCGGCTGTAACTTTCGCCTCAGAGAGCTTAGGGAACAAGTCTTGTAGGTACTTGAACGCTGAAGAATTTTTGTCGAGAGCTTTGACGAATTGCTTTATAAGACCCAGTTTGATGTGGAGTGGTGGCATCAGTACCTTCTGGGGGTCCACCAAGGGCTCCCACTTGACGTTGTTCCTCCCCACTGTGAATTCAGTTCGTTGTGGCCATTCACGCTTACTGTAGTGTGCACTGTCGTTTCTGCTGTCCCACAGGCATAGAAAGCAAGGAAACTTGGTGTAACCGCCTTGCAGGCCCATTAAGAATGTCACTATTTTGAAATCTCCGATCACTTCCCAGCCATATTGCTCATACTTCAATGCGTTCAGCACTTTCTTGACATTGTCGTAGTTCTCTTTGAGAGATACTGAATGCGCCAGAGGAAGAGACGGATACTTGTTGCCATTGTGAAGCAACACGGCTTTGAGACTCTTGCATGAGCTGTCAATGAAGAGGCGCCACTCTTTTGGTTCGAAATCAATTCCGATTTCCTCGAACAGACCGGTCACGTCGTGGCAGAAGCAGAGCCCATCTTCGCTGATGAAGAAGTTGGAAAAAAGTTCGTGACGCTTCCTCTGACATGTGACTTTAACACTAGGATCCAGCAAATTCCACTGCATCAGTCTGGACGTCAAAAGTTCAGCATCGGACTTGGTTAGACCAAGATCTCTGATCAAATCATTCATGTCCTTTTGGTTGGGATAGTATGGGTTTTTGTTATCAGCTAGTAAATTAAATCCTTCACCTTCATTGTCTTCCACACTCATGGAATCAGGGCTCTCACAGGAAGACACCTGCTCTTTCTCTGGAGGAGTAGGAACGGGGCGGTCAGAGCTGTGTGGAACTGGAGCCATGGATGAAGGAATGTCAGGATACATGATTTGACTTGCTTTTTTGCCAGTCCGACGTTTGGAAGGGTCCACCATGCAGAAAAAGCAGTTGCTTGAATGGTCAGTGGGTTCTCTCCAAACTCTTGGAACAGCAAACTTCATAGCTCTCTTTTCCCCTCTGTACCATCCTGAAAAAAAAATTAGAAAAGAAAAGTACTGTCTAATAAAAAAGTTAATAGAAACATTTATTTTACCCATAACAAAGCAATATAGTTTTAAAATGTCTTACCTTCGAATGTCCTTTTGCAGTTTTCACACGCGAAATGAGGTGCCCAGGATTTGTCTTGATCACCCACAGGCATGCCGAAATAAGCATTGTAAGCTTCGCACATTTTAAAACCTGTTTCCAAAGAGTACTTATTCGCTCTTGTTTTGATAAAATATCCGCAGACATAACAAAATGCATCTGCAGGATACTTGCAGCCTCGTGAAGCCATGTTTGAACGAATTTATCTGTAATAAAATAAGAAACAACTCTCAATAAATCACAAAAATGTTGCAAAATTTATTGCGACGACTTTGTTGTTTTAACTAGTGTTGGGCAGTATCGAGCACTTTTGTATATTTACTACTTTGGTATCGATACTTTTAAGCATCGGGTACTGTCGATACTTTTCAGCATCGAGTACTGAGTACTTTTGGAATCGATACTGCCCAACACTAGTTTTAACACACACAAATGTAGAGAAAACAAGTTGTATGCGCTCGTGTATCAGTTTTCAACAAACAAGCATAAAAATAAACGCAGATAAGCGCTGCCATGGTCACAAAAGCAAAGTTATCTTGCGACAATAGCTGTTTTCTATACTTTTGGGACCTAACTGACTAGGAAATAACAATTACAACCCAGGGACAAAAACCTTGTTACATAGTGTAATTTTGTCAACATGGAAAGTGAGGCGTGAGGTATGTACTTTATTTTGCGATTTTTGTTAAAAATATAGATGTTTGTAAAATGGGTATAATACCTATTTTATAAATGGCTTTTTTTTATTGAAGAAATTTAGAAATTTTTATATTAGTTAGAGTCATAAAAAAAGTTCCAACGAGTACAGCAATTTCTCTTCAAAAGTTCGAAAATCCAACTGTTTAGGCGCATCTGCTAACACCAGTCGCCTAAATACATGCTATGTACTGCTGCATGCGCAAAAATTTCCTTTATGCAATTTTGGAAATGTTTGCACATGCACTTCTCAACTGTCATGTAACTGAACTTTCTTAAGTTTTAATTAGGTGGCACTTCAAAGTATGCTCGGTCTAGTCTGATGCATCCTCGGGACACTGCTTCCGGAGCATTTTGCGGAATCTGCATGGCTTACAACCATGAAGAGGTGGTAAACGAACTTTACCATTGGCCACAGTGCCTACCTACCATTTTTGCACCAATACATATTTTTTTTTATATAAATACATATGTACATGCAAACATACTGGTCTCCCCTCTCACTGAGTTATTCATGGTCTTTCGAGCGGGATATTTGCGGCTTTTGTTATATCCACTAGACGACCAAGTCGTCTAGGGGGGCCGGTATGTTTAGGCGCGTCTGCTAACACCAGGCGCCTAAATACATGCTATGTACTGCTGCATGTGCAAAAATTTCCTTTATGCAATTTAGGAAATGTTTGCACATGCACTTCTCAACTGTCATGTAACTGAACTTTCTTAAGTTTTAATTAGGTGGCACTTCAAAGTATGCTCGGTCTAGTCTGATGCATCCTCGGGACACTGCTTCCGGAGCATTTTGCGGACTCTGCATGGCTTACAACCATGAAGAGATGGTAAACGAACTTTACCATTGGCCACAGTGCCTACCCACCATTTTTGCACCAATACATATTTTTTTTTTATATAAATACATATGTGCATGCAAACATACTGTGGTGCGATTCACTACGCGATTTTAACAACTCTTGTTATTGTTAAGTCAGCTAAACGACAATTTTAACAATTTAGATACTCAGTAAACGTTTCCCTAACAATATTCGTTAGCGCCATTTCAGCTGTTGTCGCTAACGACAGAGAACTTAGATAGATAGAGAAGGTGCAAACTGAAAGTGGAAACTATTCGCGTACGAAAAATTAACAGCGTTAGAAAAGTTCAAGTCGGAATGTAAAAATTCTGTTGAATTTAATGTTGATAACATAATACAATGTTGAGCAACATGAAATGTGATGTTCTTTGTGAGCAAATAAACGAAAATATGGTAAATCTTCACATAATTTTCATTAATTTGTAATTTTTGTTAAATTTTTTATTTTGTTCTCCTTTTATGAAGATGCAAATACAATTTAAAATAATGATAGTTTGGCATAAAGTTTACACACATATGTACATGCATACATATACTGGCAATCAAAAGTGAGTGCATGGTGTTTTTTGCTTAATATTTGCAATGTTTTTCAATTAA